GCCCTGCCGCCTGCCCTCACTCAGCTAACAAGCAAAGGTCGGAGAGACCCGGGAGTGATCTGTTAGAACAAAGAATGCCAAGAGCTGCGGCCATGTCATACTGTCCCCACCTGTCAGAAGCAGTAAACTTCAGATTGCTGGTCTTAAAACATTCCCCAGCTCTAGAAATGCACCTGCAGAGGAATACATAGGCTTCTGCACGCTCTCTTTCCACCAGCTTTTGGTACCCCCTGCTGGTGAAATTGTGTGATCCAGTTGGCAAGAATTTCAGAACAAGGAGAAAAAGAAAATTCCAAGTTTGTGTAGTCACAAATAAGTGAGTCCTGAAGGATATGAGGATTCCATAAGTTATAGGACCATTCCCTGTATCACATGACTATTTTATGAGGTTTTTGTTTTTTGCTTTTTGTTTTACATCTATAGCTGTGGCTCTTCTGCAGGCTCTGAGGAGGGGGAAATCTCTGACTTTTGTAAACATTCCATTAATTCCTCGAGCATCCCAAGAGTTCTGTTGACAACCACAGGAAGGAAATGCTAAGTTATTAGCCAAAAATATTCATAAGTATAAATATTCCAAGTCACGAAATAATTTCATGCAGGTTTTTCTTCCTTTTTCCTTGTATGTGTCTTTTTCTAAGTGGTTATAATTTGCAGTCAGAGTAGGATGACAATCTTTCTACACTTCAGATTGTAGGGTTTTAAGTATAAATTTGTGCAACAAATTTGTTGAGCACCAGTTATGGTACAGCCGCTCAGCAAGAAACTAGAGTAGGTGCAAGAAGTCAAAAGCCCTTCATTCAAGAGGTTCTTGCCCTGGTGGGCAGGAGAGTTGAATCACTGCGTGTGGACTAGTCAAGTGCTTAGCTGACATGGCAACAAGGCATTGCTTGATCTCCTGCCAGGATGCAAACCAGCTATTAGGTCTCTCAGAGCTTCATGTGTTTCTGCTCCTTGGCTTTTAACACCTTTGTGATTTGATGTTTGTTCTGTATTATTGGTTTAGTGCCTGTCTTTGCCATGCATCTCTGTTCTTTGAAGGTCAAAGTTATGTGTAGTGGTTTGTCACTGTGACCTCCTTCCGTCTAGCAGAGATTGGCACATGTAGGTGCTCAATAAATACTAGTTGAATGGCTGAGTCAACCAAGCAGAGAAAAGTGGAAATATGTTTAGGGGAAATCTCAACAAGATATGACTCTGGAATGCCACTGAGCCTTGCAGGATGAAGAGGTGGTGGCCAGTGGAGGAGAATGGGGGCATTTAGGAAACAGAGTATTGAGGAATGGGTGCAGAAGGGAGATGAGTAATTGGTGTTTCCTGAAAAGGAGACAGGTGTGAAAGAGAAGGCTGAATTGAAGCTGGAGCCACAGTCTGAGGGTCTCATATGGCCTCCTCACTGGCTTGGATTTTCCCTTCTCTTAAAAGGGAGGGGAATCAATTAAACTCGATGGCAATAGGAAAGGATATAATTTTTCCTTTATTACCAGAGGATTTTTAATACTTAAAATTTGAATTCTGATAAAGTTAGGTCCCCAGACTGTGATTTTATATTTTATTTCCTTCTGTATTAACTCCATTTCCACTTTGTAGCATGTGTACCTGTTGCTGAAACACCTGTCTATACCTTTTTAAATTACTATAGAGCAGTAGTTCTCAACCTTCCTAATGCCGCGACCCTTTAATACAGTTCCTCATGTTGTGGTGACCCCCAATTTCATTGTTACAAATTGAACATAATTAAAGCATAATGATTAATCACAAAAACAATATGTAATTATATATGGTTTTCTGATGGTCTTAGGCGACCCCTGTGAAAGGGTTGTTCGACCCCCCCAAAGGGGTCGCGACCCACAGGTTGAGAACCACTGCTATAGAGCATCATCATCATCATCATCATCATCATGAACAGGTAGCATCAACCATGAACTAAGTACTAGGGATGTCGTATGTCGGTTTTTACAACTCAGTTGTCCAATTTTTAAATACGTGTTTTGGAGAGGCTCAGTGTTTCATATATTTATCCAGGTGTTCAGAGCTGCCCAAACATTTCTGTGAAATGCCATTTTTCATAGAAGCAGCGAAGCTGTTTTTTATTAATATTATCCCTTTGGAAAGCAATGATTTGTGCCAAAGACAGCTCTCTCCATATTATTTTACCCTGAATGGAATGAGATTGGTTAGGAGTTCTGCCCCCAGGGAAATATCAAAGACTCCGATACATAGTCATTTATAGTTTTAAAGTTTACTTTCTTATCAAGTTTCCTTTTATTTCCTCCTGGGGCGATGTGAGCACAGCTCGGGTAGAGGCAAAGGATCTGATGTATATCTTTTCAAATTTATGATTAAGAAGGTCACATATACATTTTTAAACATATTCCTTTTTGATAATAAATGAAGAATAAAGCTTCAAAATGTCATCAGTAGCAGAATTGCTCGTTTTTCTTTCGTTGGCGTTCCCCGCTCCCTGTCTGATTACTTGTAGGTGGTGAGAAAAACTGATCCAGTGCTACCTTTCCTGTTGTTTTTCTATCTGCCTGGAATAGTTTCACTAGGGGAACAGTATGCTTGGGGCCAAAGCATTGTAAGAAAGATGCATTCCTACTCCTAAGTGCCCAGCTTTCCCCAGACCAATGGGTGAAAAGAAAAGATAAAGAATTCCATTTTAGGCTGCATCTGTATACAAATTGTGGCCAAAGGAGGGAGGTAGAATCACTTCGTTTCTTCTGGGTAGGGATTCCTGGAGCAGATCCACTCTCCATGCTTCTCCACTCTGCTCTCTGTTTTCAGAGCTGGATCCATAGGGACTCCATGTCACTGGCTTCCCATTGGGCTCAGCGAATGAGAGCCACTGTAGGAGGTCAGGGTAGAGGGGAGGAGGTAGCCAGGCCATGATGTCTCTGGTTCAGGATTGGCTGGCTCCTTCAAGAGAAGGCCATTTCTATGCAGGTGGCCTCTTCAGGACTCTCTCCTTTTGGGTTCTGGTGACTGCTTCCTCCCCTTTCCTTCTGGACACACAAGTGGTAGACTGCTCTCTGGTCATATATTCTACCTTGGGTTCCCCTACACCCTCTCACCTTTGTTGGTGGTTCTGTGCCAGTGGTGGGGAACATCCAGCCCATGGGACATATAAGGCCCATGAAATCATTTGGTCTGGCCTTGCAGGGGCATTAGGGGTGAGTTAATGAAAGTCTGACCAAATGTAGAGGCTAATTTTGAAGTTGAAAATTTGGTATGGCCCAAGAATGATGTTATAAATCTCCAAATGGCCCTTGGCAGAAAAAAGTTCCCCACCTCTGTATAAACTCTTCTCAAGTTACACTCATTTACTGGTAAGTGTGCCATTGGTCATTCTTCTGTGTGATCTACACCTACGTCAAGGGGCCCATGCAAAGGAGGATGCTAGCATAGTGTCCAACTAGAATTGATCCTGGATGAACTGCTCTCAAACATCTCTAAGTCCAGGTTTATCCTTTCATTTAATACCTCTTCTGACAGGGAGATCATTACCTCTTGAAACTGCCTATTTCATAATCAGGAGGGTTCAACTTTGAAGAATTATTTCTTATATGGCACTGAATTTGACTTCTCTGGGACATCTGTTCTTCTCTCGTTGAGATAGGAGGGACCAAGATTAAATCTGAAACCAAGTTCTGTGAAAAATGAAGGAAGACAACCAGAAGAATCTCCTCTTGAGATTTTACCTATAGCCTTTCATATCATAGGAACATAATAACTATATTTAGATGCATAAATGTTGGGAAAACCCAGAGAGACCATGCTGCCTTTCAGACACATTTGAAGAACTATCATATGCAAGAGGGCTTAGTCATATGTTTATATCTCTGATGATAGATCTAAGACAAATAAGTTAAAACTTAAGGGAAATAGATTTCAAATCCATGTGGAGAACTTTTAACCCGTTAGCTCCTTAGGTGTCAAAGTCTCCATCACTTGATATAACCTGGGGATTTCACAGTGGGGCTGTTGGAGGGGGTTTCAGACTTTGGAATGTAGTTGATCCAGTGGCGATGATATCAAAACAAGCATAGCAGCTGTGTTGGGTGTTCACTGTGTGCCAGGCACTATGCTGTACGTGTTTCACACGTTGTCTCTTTTAATTCTCACAACGCTTTGAGGCTGGTCCTGTTATTTGCCACAGTACACAGAGGAACTTGCCCTGGGTCATGCAGCTGCCAGGTGGTAGAGGTAGAATATGAACCCAGGCCTGCCTGATGTTAAAACTAATGGCTTTAACCTTCAATGGGCAGTGGCAGAATAACCTGGGGAACTTGGTGGCCATGCAAAGGTCCAGGCACTGTCCTACTTCATGAGCCTGGGCCTGTGTGTGTGTTCAGCTCTCCAAATGATTCCATTTTACACCAGAATTCAAAAGCACTGCTCTAAACTAGTATTATTATAAATGCCCATCTGGTTCTGAGAGTCTGTTATGCCTAAGTAAAAAGGTATACATCAGGTTTAGCTTGAACTTTTCTCCTTCTGAGCTACAAGGCTACCTAAACTCCACCCTCACCCACTGCCAACCACCAACCCCTACTTCAATCTACCATTGTTTTCTTAATTATTTCATGAGCTCAGTTCCTGAGAAAGGTCAGACTCCATTGAAATCTCATTCAGAGCCATGGGAACAGAAAGATCAATCTGGCCTCTCATGCCTTTGACAGGAGAGCAAGGGAAGCATCATGCTAGTCTCACCGAATTCCTGTTCTAAGCTCATCTAAGTTCATCCTGTTCCAAGAACACACCGTAGTTGGAGATGAGGCAGGATGCATATCATATTCCTGAGTAAATAGAAGCCACTAATGGTTTTAGAAGGATTTAGGTTTATTCCACCTTGATACTGGAGGACCCACCTTGACTCTGTTTCTGGAGACTGAACCAGGTTTGGGGTTGAGGATGATGGGTAGGGAAGGAGAGCAATCTGGTCTTCTCAACGCAACTGGCACCATCTGACTGTGATTTTTTCCCTTGCACATGTCCCAAAGGAAGCTGGCCAAGAAGCAGAAGGAGACACAGAGCGGAGCCCAGAGGGAGATGGGGCCTGTGGCCTCGACCGACAAACCCACCACCAAGCTCAGCACCAGCCGCAATGATGAAGGCTTCTCCTCCAGCTCTCAGGATGTTAACGGATTCAGTAAGTTGAGCTCACTCAAGGGAAGGGAATATCTGTGGTCCTGCTTGACCCTGTTACCTCTGCTGTGGACCCCTCACAGTGGTCAGGTGCTGCTGGGCATGGGGTTGGGGTGCTTCCTTGGGACGGCCCAGGATGAAAGTTCTCCAGGGAAAAAGTTGGGACCACCCATCCTGGGGTGAAAAGCAGAATTTAAGAATTGCCTCAAAATGGAGTCAGCCATTTAACTGCTTGTGGCATAAATAACGACAGGTTAAAACTAATAACAGTAAAAAAAAAAAAAAGGGAGGAGGAATACATGGTTATGCACTTAAGGAGAAAAACATGCCATATTGAATTGAGTGTCTTACAGTTTTTAAAACAACATTTGATATAAACCATGTAAGGTAGATGAGTCATAGATTATTGCTGTATCTGATTTGAATGCTTGGGAAACTGAGGCCTAGAGAAGCAACTTCTCTCAAGTCCCAGCGCTGATGAGTAGCATATTCAGACCTGGAAGCTATGCCTCCCAAACCTTGGCCAGTTCCAAGCTCCGGCTAATGTTCCAAGTGGCATTTAGTCAGGAGCACCTGAGTCCTCACGCGGAGTTAATACAGGACCCCGAGCCAACAGAAATGGCTGAGATTCCGGGGTTGGCCCTCCTCCAGAGGGCATCCTCCGGACGGGTGACCTAAAGTTACCTTGGTGATCAGACTCGAGAGAACTGACTTGTGTTCAGATTGTTCTGTCGGCCAGTTTTTTTGTGTGTTTTTTTCTGGGTTTAATGGAATGCAGGGAATCTAAAGGAATGTGAGCATGGACAGATGACCTCCACACACTGTGTCAATGACAAATGGAAGAAACCATGTTTTGTAAAAATCACTTTGGATGTGATCAGTTTGGGATGATTCAGATCTTCAGAAGATGAAGAAAGAAAAAAAGCAAATGTTTACTGACCGCCCTCCTCCCTACCACAGCCAGTGTTATTGTTCCCATTTTATAGAAAAGGATTCCAAGGCTCAGGGTGTTGTGCTGACCTACCCTGAGTTCCACCGCTAGTTCCTGATGGACCCAGGATCTGAGGGTAACCCAGACCCATTGTTCTTAACCTCCTGTGCAGCACAGAACCAACCCATCCAAGGCAGTTTTCAAAATATGCATATCTGGGTTCCAGGCCTTACCCACTGAATCAAAATCTGAAGGAAGAGGCGTATGGAGGGGATGAGGGGTAGGGCAGGGATGAGGAGTAGGGAGGGATGTAGGTTTGGTAAAAGCCACTCAGGGGTTTCTATAGGGACCTTGGTTAAGAATACTGAACTTCAAGGGCAGAAATGGCTTTTTCAAATATTGATGTGCTGCCTTGGGAAAGAGAGATTAGTTTTAAACTTATAAAAAACTTATAGAAAGGTTGGGAGGGGGCATAAAATGAATACTCTTATAGCCTTTGGCTTGATTCACAAATTGCTCATATTTGTGAGCGCGCTCTCTCTCTCTCTCTCTCTCTCTCTCCCCATATATATTCTCCAGAGAATTCAGTATGTGTTTCCTAAGAACTAGGACAGCTCTTCAAAATAACCACAATGAACTTATCCTACCCAAGAAATGTAACCTTAGTTCAATACCTAATATACCAGCCCATAGTTGAATTTCCTCAATGGCCCTAACATTTATTATTATTATCATCATGATTATTATTTTAATCCAATAAAAGTGATCACATTAGATTGGTCATCATGTCTCTTCAGCCCCTTTCATCTAGAATAGCCCTCCCACCTGTATTTTATCTTTCAGGATGCTGACTTTTTTTTAAAGGGTAGACCAGTTGTCCCATAGAGTATTCCCCAATTCAGATTTATCTGATTTTTTCATCATGATTACATTCAGGTTAAACATGTTGGCAAAAATACAACATAGGTGATTTCATGTGCATCTCCTTGCCTTCTATCAATAGACACATGGTGTCACTTTGCCCATTATTGATGAAGCTCAGTCTGAGCACTTCTTGTAGTTGAGTAATGGCTTTAAAGACAAAGTCTAATGGCATGTAGTGATTATTTCATGAACAAATACTTAGCTTTCATTTTTCTGAGTGCAGAGCAAGTTTCTGGTCTGCCGAACCATAAAGCCAGTCCTTTTCCATTCTCAACCAAGGTCAATTGCTGGGATTCATATATTCCCTGGGGCCCGGGGAAAGGGGATATTGGCATGGACCAGGAGAGGGAAAGAGGGATGAGCAAGGAAATGGGCTTGGTGTGCCCTTATGGATTCCCCCCAGCCGCTGGCTGTATTAATTTGTCACTGACTTTCCTGCTTTGGGCCCAGGGGCAAGTCTAGCTGATGACACATACTGACTGAATGCCACCCATTTGCCCAAAACCTTTCCTGTACAGGCCAGTCTCTTGTGCACACTTTTTTTGCACTTATAAGAATGTCCTTGGAGAACTCTGAATGACAAAAAGATTATGGTCTAAGACGCATGACAATCATTGTGACCTCAAAGTTGTAGGTATGTGACCTTAAGCTTTCTGACCTGAAAGAAAAACCTGGGTAACACCAATTTCTTAGATTTTAAGGGGAAACATCATCACCCTTTTCCCCATGGGCCAAAACTTAGACTCTTCAGAAGAAAGCGCCTAAGACTGAGGTGGATTAGCCAGCCAGAGAGGAACAGGCAGAACACTGTACAGAGTCTAATCAGATATTTTAAAATCCAGAGACACTATTTCCAGAGGATTGATATGTGTGTTTTATATATACTCACACAGAGACATATATGTATATGCATTCATTTTAATGATACTGCTTTATAAAAAGACAGGAAAAACAAATTTCAATTGACACTATACTCAGTTATTAAGAAATTTTGCATTTGTTTGCATCAATCAACATGTTAGGATTGAATCTATGCAGCTAGTGTCCTCAGGCTATAGCCACAAACATGCTCTGGGGTTCTTCTGAGCGCCCTGGAATGCATCAGGTGCCTTTCCAAGTGCCTTGTGGAACCACTGGAATAAGATTTGAGGGAGAAAAAAATATAAGTAATGCTTACACTGGAGATGTTGAAATTGCTTCTGAAATCACCCTGCTGTATATAAAATTGAATCTATTTTTGAGGCATTAGGGAAGTGACTGTCTGCTTCGGCGGCAGTGTCTTTAGGAGGCCCTAGCCTAGGATTATTTGCAAATGTTGAGGAAACATTGAGAGTAGCAGAGCACAAGAATAGATGTCACATTGGAAAAGATTACAGATGAACGTGCCCCGAGCAATTATTTCATTATTGAGCAGGTGGGCCCTGACCTAATTCAAACTCTGCTTTTCCATGCAAAGGTTTATCTTCTGGGGTTTTCTAGTCTGAGTCACTGCTATGCTAAGTTCTGCAACATCCATTCACTCCAGCCCCCCAATTTTGCATTAGGAACAATGACCTCTGGGTGGCAAGGGTGATGGGGCTGTGTGAAGTATGGGCCATTGCTTTGACATTCTTGAAAAAAGGAGTGCATGTCATATTTCAAGGACCAACAATGCATTGTTTTCAGTTTAAAGAAATGCTGGCTTTAATCAAGTAATCTGATTTTGATCTTATTGCCCTGTGTGCCTGGTTGTGTTTTATTTTTTCTGAGATCTTTCACTCACTGGGGTTGTTTGCTGGGGCTTTCTTCTTATATCCCTACTTAGATCTTTATCTTTATATCTTTTATTCATGGTGTCTTCTTGTTTATTTTCAGGCCAAGTCAGAATGCTTCAAAACAAATCCCTGTTGACTCCCTATGATAGGGACTTTGGTTGCCTGCCTTTCCCATATGGCATTTGACAGACTCACTTACTCACTGGGTACTGTTAACTCTGTCTTTATTTTTATGCTTCCATTCTGTGCAATGGTTCCATCTCTGATGGGTGAAGACAATCTAGGTCAAAAAAGACACTGGGCCTTTAAGCTCTCTGCTGAGTAAGGAAATGGGCATGACTGAGGCCTTGGTGATGAAATTCAATGGCCATTTCTCAGCACTTAATATATACCTGTCCCTGTGCCATGAGTCTCAGGCACAGTTTGGGGAAGGGGATTATTGCAAAAATAAGTAAAATGGGGCATTGTTTCACAAAGAATAAATGTTTTCTCTTACAGGTTTTTCATAGTTTATGAAAGTACTTTTGCAAAGGAGTGAGAGATCCTATTCTTGTACCATGAGATAGCTAGCAGGTATATTATTGCCCTCATTCTACAGATGAGAAAACTGAGGTTCAGAGAGACCCCATGCCCCACATCACACAGGCATTTGCACAGTCATAGTGAGGATCCATCTCTCCTGACATGTTAGGTTCTCTCCGCCTAGTTCTGCAAAGAATTTGGGGAAATATCCTGTCAAAGTACCTAAAATTAGACAGCTGTAAGAGAAATAAATGATCGGGATCAGGAAAACATAAATGAAGACAAGGAGGTCAAAAACAGGTTATATTAAAATGGAATTATATTATGTTTAAAAAGTAATCTAACTATGCAAGCTGGTAACTTTCAAATTCCAATTTGCCTCTGAGTTTCCTAGTAGTGAAAGCCCATGGCACTTACTAGATCTGATGCGTTAGACAAACCCCACTCTTAAGTCTCCTAGGAACCCCATAATTAAATAAAATTACAATTTCCTAAATGAGGAAACCTAGTTTCAAAGAACTGAAGTAAATAAGCTCAAAGTTGCACACATAGAGTACGATGGGATCGAAGCCAAATAGTATTATCTGGCTTCTCCTGTACCATCAATGGCAGCCCACCGCTCACAGGTCTCACTGAGTGGGGCCACTGCGGCTGGGAGCGAGCTCAGCTCCACTTCTCTCCCGATGGTCAGCCAGCTTTTCAACCATGTGGGAAGAAGCTGTGGCCACAACTGTGTCCTACATGGAGGCCTGAGGCAGGCCCTGTCATGGAGCCAATCAGATCCCCACGAGGTGCCAGGCTCTGAGATCAGCATGTTCAAATATGGCATCTGAGTCCATTTTCACAGGAACCCTGTACAATTGGTATGTTTGT